CCAAGTGCATAAAATTCTAATACGATTTGGCCTGGATTGGACAAATTAGGCTTACACTCAAGCCTTAGACCTAATTCTTAAGGTTGGGCCTAGGGATGTCAATGGATCAGGTTCGACATGGGTTTACCTCAACCCTAACCCGACCCGACTCAAAAGTGCATAATTCCCAAACCTGACCTGACCTTATAGGGTCTAACCCGACCCAACCCATAACATTTCAGCTTTATTTTTGGAACAGTTTTGAAGACCTAAAGTCCATTAATTTAAGTTAGGAAATTGTTTTATACATATTAAGGTGTCACTTTTCTCATTAAAAAAAAAAAAAAAGAAGAAGAAGAAGAAAACCAAAATCAACATGTAAGTAAATCTTAAACTTTAAGCTTATAGAGTTAGAAGTTAAAAAAGTTACAAGAATACTTTGTATATATGTAGGATATCATGACCTGACAGGACAAGTCAGCCAAAACCTGAACTCAACTCGGCTTGAAGAATCAAAATCCTAACCCAACCCTAAAACTGAATATGCCTAACCCTAACCCGACCCTATAGGGTCGGGTCAAGCTGGGTTTACCATTTAGGCCTAACTCGCACAACTTGCTATGGATGCAAATGGAACGGATCAAATTCTGATAGGGGTATATCTGAATCCAATCCAATAATGTTAATCTGATATCTGATCCATTAATTGATTTGGTCGATCTCACAAAGATTAATTTGAATTTGATTCTGTCAAGGATGTACTCAAATCTGATTTAATCCAATTTGATTACCCATAAGTCTGTAAGGTTCAACAAATTATTAATAGGAAAAAAGAAATAAAAAAGTTGATATACAAAGAAAAACAAAAAATACAAACATTTTTCAACCATTTTTATTATATATACATGTATTTTTATAAAACAACATAAATAATATAAAAAAATCAAATTATATATATATATATAGGTTGTTCGAATTCTATCATATTTTTAATGGATCCTATTTTCCGAACATATCAGCTACATTTTGTAGGCATCTAATATCATACATTCGTCATATTAAAGAAAGATAGACTTCATAAATAAGTAGTATTTTTATTAATAATGGAAAAGAAAGCATAATTTAAAGCATATTGAAATTATCATTTTTTAGCTATTATTGAAGTTACCAGGTGCAATGCACATACACATTTTACTGGTACATGTAAAATGTAAATGGGATAAATTTGAAAAAATCAAAATTTACAAAATCTGTGCAATCAAGAAAATCATTTTAAAAGAATAACGTTTACATTTCCAGGTCAACTTTCAACCTGTGATATACTGATATTATCATTTTGAAGCTCGAAATTACAAATTCCATTCTCATCAATTCTCAGTACAATGAAGAAGAAGATCTAGAGGGGAAGACATGGTATACAACTCCGAGATCGAAGAGAAGAGAAGTGAGAAGATATAGTAATAGAGTGCGTCGGCAGATGAACAAACAAACTGATGAAAAAAGAGCAAACATTCTAACTAGGCTTCTGCAGTTGGCGATCAAAAGTCTGATTAGCTAACAGAAGTTGGGTGAATGCATTATGGCATCACTAGAAATTGATAAGCTGCGGGTGAAATGCATGCCCAACAGAAAAACATTAGCTTCAACCATCTCTCTGCCATTTTTCCAGGTCCCCATCTACGTTAAGCTTCAAAAGGTGAGCTGCTATGGCTTCATCCATTGAAGAATTCGCTCAGGCTCCGGCTGAGACCAACTGTGGGTCTGCTACCCTGCTCCAATAGAGTGGAGGACATCAGATGCCCAATACCTCATTGAGATTTGAAAAGAGAAGCAACTGAGAGTGATTAATAGTGTTCCAAGGATTAAGCTACTTTCCATCGAAGATAGCTTCATTTCTACCCATCTAAACATGATAATTAATTATATATGCCTTTCAGAAAAACAAATTCATTTGAAATGGCCTGTCCTGCTGTCCATACATAGTATTCCAAGTAGCAATTTAGTTTTTCAACAGAGTTTGAGATATAGCGTCAGGTCTCAATCCTACACAGGATCCAAACCATAAGGTAGAAAGAAAAATATTGGTTATCAATTTGCTCTTAATCAGGGGTGGCAGAGGGGAGTCAGGATCCTGCTCCTCACAACACATCCCAGCTGCATATTGAGAACCAATGTTTTTGAACTGTCGTTGATCCGGATGGTCAGACCGTTCGGCCCAGAAACCATCCAGACAACTGGTTCAGTTTCACCCTTAACCCGTCCCTGGGTTAATGACTGGTGATTTGGTCAGAGGACCATTGACCTGGGCGGCCGAACCGTCGATTCGTTCGATCCGGACAATGGTTCGCAGTTTAAGAAGCAGAGAGGACAAAGAGGGGAGAAAGTGAAACATGAACTCAGGTGATCAGATCTGAGATCCATCAGAGAGAGAGAAGAAGAAGAAGAAGAAGAGGAAAAAGAGGTTACAGAGAAATTGATCTTAGATCTGAGATCTCAGTTCTCAGAAGGGAGTCCGGATCCTGCTCCTCACAACACATTCCAGCCGCACATTGAGAACACCTCCTGTGATATATGATGGGATTTGCTGTGAGGTGCACTTTAGGGGACCCAACAATCCCTATTGGTATTGCACTTATATCTTAGTATCCATCCCTACTCTTAATAAAGATAAGCCAAGAGAATATCCATTAGAGGGAGGTGATCATTTCTAGCCCGGTCCAAAAGTGCGGTTTGGCCTAGATATACTAATGTAAAAGCACGTATATATATATACGTTTATGGAACCCAATACAAAGTATCCACTTAACGTTAAGTATATAGGAAAAATCTATGCTGCTCAAAAAACATGATACCGGAACACAATGAATTTGATAAAAACTCGTCTGATTGATTTCCACGTTTCAGCTCCATGGCAAAACACATTCGTTTAGGGGTGTGGTTCATTCCAAGATGAGCCAAGGCTGGTTCTGTGAAGCACAATCTTGTGCCAGCCCAGCCACATCAATGTCTTGTGTTCTGAAACATGCTACACCTAACAAAGTATTATATTATTAAAACTTTGCGCCTGAAGAATGAGATACATGCCAATGTAATATCTTGAAAGCTTTTGCGCCTGAAATTTTTATCCGAGTTAGGAAATTAAAATCAGATTTGACTTGTTATTGAATTATGTGAGATGGTTTCCTAACTTGAATTAAGACAGACCATGCCTTTAGAGCTAGAGGAGGGGACCCATGTCAACTATGCATTTTATTTTTTTTAATTAAAATTTACTCGCCCCTTTATTTTCTTGGTGAGAGGCTAGCCACATGTTTGACGCAGAAGACCATTCTGAGGGGTTTCCTTAGATTGGCTTTACTCCTATACATTCTCTCCAACCCCTTCCACTCTGAATCCAGACCTTATTCAAGTTCAAGGTATCCCATTCACACAGCTCTTGGGGACATTTGAGACTCGGCTGTTCAGCTCAGCAAAGCAGACATGAATTCAATGAAAGAAAGCAAGTTGTCTTTTACAAACCTTGGGATTTAGTAAAGGGTAGAAGACTTAAAACATATACTGAGTTTTTCACTCAGAGTCTAAAATTTAAATGCACTTTTCTATCATTATCTTTGATGATCTGAACGCAAAGACAATTTTATCCCTTGTGAAAACGTGAAACAGGGTTTGGATTGTCTTCTACCTTAAGACACCACACTGCAAATCGGTGGCTTCTTCCAACATACAGAATAAGCTAACAGATATCAGATCACATGTCCATACTCCATAGACTAACAAAAATCCTAACCAATGCATTCCATGCACTAACATCTGTTGATAGGGAGAATGCCAATGTTGTCTGCAATGGATCAAATAAAAATCAGGGTAGAACTCTGGTAAGCTGGCAAGACTTGAATCAAAATTAAGGGCAATTTGTAAATTGGCCAAGGAGTTTTGGAGCCATCATAAGCTGGGCCTTGACTCGGTGTGAATCATATTAAAAGCCTTGAATGTAGGCATTTAATGGATTCTATTTGGGTTTTTATTGTTTGAAAGTTAACAATTTGGCTAGTGTTGGCTTCTTACCAGTCCTCCCGTGGCAATTAAGAAGGAAGCAAGCAAAGATGGACTCAAGCAACTGAGCACTCCAATACAAAATGCCCCTCAACAATGTTATGTGACCCCAATAAAGGCTCCAGATGTCACAGCAGGGTTAACATGGCCCCTAGAGATTTTGGCACCAACAGAAACTGCCACAAAGATGGCAAAAGCTTGAGCCAAGGATGCTAAAACAAGCCCTTCAATGCTGTCCTTTGCTCTGCACTGAATTCCTTCTGCAAACATAATCTTATTATGATGATTTAGCATAACTACCACACATGCTGCCCTGCCCTTCCCTTTCCTTTTCTCTTTTTTTCTCTTTCTTTCTTTTTCTTTTCCTTTCCTTTCCTTTTTCTCTTTTTTCTTTTTTTTTTCTGTCTTTTATAAGATATGCATGAGGCGCATGAGGCATACGCCTCTAGCATGCCTCATGAAAAAAGCGCATGAGGCGTGCCTACGCCTCTTGCACCTGAGGCGTACGCCTCAGAGGTGTCAGTGCCTCTGGCATATGCCTCAGGGCGTTTTGGGAGCAGTTTGGATATTCAATCACCAGAACAACATTTTTCTCAGTTGAAAACTCATCCTCAGAAATCTTTGTGCAGAACTTAAAAAGATTGGGTCTCAAATAATCATTTGTCTCAAAAATCATCCTTCAAATACTCAATTCTGTGAATCAATTAAAAGTAGGAACAAGAAAATACTAATTATATGGAACAAGATTGATGCCAAATACAGCCTTGGAGGTTCTGCTGATTGTTAAACATGAGAAGCAATAGCAGAATATAGGTGAAAATAGGTACTAGTTTTGCAGATTGACATCACTTTCATGCAGTCCATCTGCAAGCTCAAACAACATCCCTCAACCCATTCTTTGTTTTACCACGTTGAATGTGCATGTGTATCTTGACTTTTATTTGGTGGATTTACAGTTGAGAATGTTCTAGATTCAAATCCAGTTGAGATTTTCATTCCAACACAATAACCACGCAAACTTGCTCTACTCTACAAGAAACTTACAGCCTTTACAAGAGTGTAAACAGTCAAAAAGAAGAACAGCACCATTCAACTTCTCAAATGTAATATTTTCTTTCTCACTTCTTTCTGCAAATAAAACAAACATTTACATAGGATCTGATTTCGTATGCCCACATTCTGAATGAAAGAGGAAAAGTTCCTTGGCCCAGTAAGTTACAGAATTGAAAAAAGTAAGCTATTCATTCAGCCTCCTGCCCACTAATGGATTTTATTTATTGATTAGGGTGGCTTCAACATAAAAAGTGGGGATTGTTATATAATTCAACACTTGTCAGTTGTCATCATGTCCGAAACAAATTTTAAGAAGGTGAGCTGCTGGGGTCATTCTCTGGATCCTCTTTTTCATGACTCAGTCATGGCTCCAGTGAATGGTTTATACTGAACTGGGCTTGGTAAGCCAGACTATACCTCTGTACAAGAAGAGCAGGTAAAACTCGCCCAATCCATGGAATGCATACATCTACGTTCTACATCTACCATCTACCAAAGATGAGACTAAAAATCACCGATAACGGTGCACCCTGCTGTTCATGGAGATAGGTTGCAGGCCACAGAATACTCACCGAGGCTTCTTCCGGGACTTGAATGGGAAGCTGGAAGGTGGCGACGGGGAAAATTCAAATGGCAGGTGTGGAGGCTCAGACTCACCGGAAAGCATAGCCGCAACTTCTTTCATAGAGGGCCGGCGAGCAGGTGATCGTTGTAGACAGAGGAGTGCAACCGTGATACAGAGCAATGCTTGGTCTCGATCCAACCCCAGAATCGATGGGTCGACAAGATCCAGCAGCTTCCCTCTGCGAGCAAGATGGCGAGCCCATGAAATAAGGTTTGCACGTTCAAACTCCGACATAGGTGAGGCTGTCACCTGGAGGGGACGCCGACCAGATACCAAAACCAACAGCAGAACTCCGAAGCTATACACATCGCATTTCTCAGAGAGCTGCCCACCACCCCCATACTCAGGAGCTACGTAGCAGACGGTTCCCCTCATGCTGGGGGTGCTACTGACACCACCACTCTTGGGTATCTCTCCGCTTACCCAATCCTGGCTATTGCGACGACCACCCCGGAGCTCACCACTAATCCCATCCAACCACCAATCTATACTTCCTCGACTGCTCCTGCTCCTGCTCCGGCTCTTCTTCTTCTTCCTTGTGTCCGCTCCAAAATCTTCATCCCCTTGCCACCAATTGTCGACACCGCTCCCACCACTATGCTTAATTCCCCGTTTTTTCTTCCGGCTAAGCTCCTCGCAGAACTCCTCCCGCCACCACTCCCTAGCAGGTCTGCGCTTCTCCTTCTTCCGGATCTTCTCCTCATCTAATGACGTCCACCACTCCATACGCTTCTGCTGCTTCTTACTCTCCGATTTCCCAACGGGCTTACCATCCTCAACGGAAGCCGAGGTCGCAATCCAATCACTTTTGGGTCTCTCCTTTATCTCTGTCCCAATCCACTCCATCACATAGTCCTTCACCCTTCCTGACTCAGAACCACCCCCATTATCCTGGCGCCACCACCAGTCCTTCCCAGAAATACTTTTTTTCCGGCCACCCCTCCGATTTCCATCACCACTGACCAAGTCCTTCCCACTATCAACACTTAGCTTATCGAAATACCCCTCAGACACGCTCGTCTTGTCCAACAACTCGGAAGGCGACGCCTCTACTACAACTGTTTCCGGTGATGCCTCCACATCCGGAACCCTCAAAAAACTCTCCGGTGACTGATCCGCACCAATATTCACCTCTTCGTACCCTGTCGCCACGCTCTCGGTCTCTTCAAGTATAGATCCATTATCCTCGGCTCCACCATTAATCTCCGATCCCTCTTTCTTTTTACCCTTGGATGTATTATTAATCTTCGCCGCGCCGCCGTCGGCGACATCCAACAATACTTCAGAAACTTCCTCAGCCTTCAACCGGGCGAGACCGAAGTCCGCAATCTTCGCTGAGAAAAAGCAATCTAACAGAATGTTACTAGGCTTGATATCGCCGTGAATAACAGGCGGATCGCATACAGTGTGAAGGAACTCAAGTCCTTTGGCAATGTCCATTGCAATGAGGAATCGTTTATTCCAGCTCATCAGCTCTGGACACTTTCGATCGAGCAACGCATCTTGCAAGCTCCGATTGTGCATCAACTCGTACACGAGTAGCATCCGCCGCCGTCTCCGGTCGCAGGAGAAACCGAGAAGCGTCACCACTCGATCGCAGTCGATCTTCCCGGCCAGGGAGAGCTCGTTCTGGAACTCACGTTCGCCTTGTAGGGAGCCGGAATCCATGAGCTTGACGGCGATTTCTTGGCCGGAGGGGAGGGTGCCCCGGTACACGGAACCGAAACCACCTTGCCCAAGCCGGTTATCTGGCGAGAAAGACGACGTGGCGTGGCGGAGGGTAGAATAGGAGAAGCGGTAGGGGGGCTTCAGATCTGAGGGAGCCGTCCTTCTCCGGGAGAATTTCCGGTAAAGACAAACAAGACATAAGAGTATTGAGAAAGCAGCGGCCCCAGCAGCGATTGGCGTGACGAGACGAGAGTTGATTGGTCTGTTGTGAGTTGATTCAGAGAGGGGTGGAGGTTTAGGTGGTGATATTTCGGCCGGTAAGATCAACGGCGGCGGTGAAAGCAGGCGTGAAGGCATGACGAAGCCAAAATGGGATACCCAATCAACATAGAAATAGAACCACCATAACTGACTCGAAGTAGAAGAAGAAGAAGAAGAAGTTGTAAAGTGAAGGGAACGACTTCTCACTTCCTCTCTATCTGTTGTCTGCTAATCTTCTCTCTGTTCGTCTTATTTCTTCTTCTCCTCCGATTTGCTGCTGTTTGTTGTTTGTTGTTAGCAGATATCAATCAGAGTTGGGGCCTTGGGGGGACTGAATGGGAAATATTTTTGTTTGCTTCTGCTGAGAAGTCCGATCTTCGAAAGGCGACTGCTTTCCCACAGTATCCATATTTATATGCGCACGTTAGCCAAAAACCTTCTTCTGGCTTTGACCAATGGGAGGGATCGTGTGAGTAAAGACAGTTCCTTTCCTTTTTATGTTACAATGACGTAAAACCCAGTAAACCGTGCTATTGTCGACGAAAAGTGGAATGGACAATTTAGTAAATTCGTTCTCTCCCACATTTTGACTTTGTTGGTTGGGCATCTTTGTAGAGGATTTTGGTATGGGAGCCGTGCAGGCTGGAGCAGGAGGGAGTTGAGATGAGTCCACCCTCTCCTCTCGTGACTCTGGATATTCCCGAGATTGATTTATTACAAATATATATATATATATATATATATATATATATATATAAATTGTGAACTGAATACATTATTGGGAAAAGCAAAATGTATTATTATTATTAATGTAAAGTTTCTTTAATGTAAGTGATGTGAGGCTGCAGGCTAAACAGTGGGTTCACATTTCTTTGACACGTGGAACGCATCTAAAATATCCAGCTTTAATCATATAAGCATTACCGCTCGCAGGTGGGGCCCGGTCTTATTTGAGCGATTCCAGCCTCCATCCAATCCAAGGGTGAGGGTTTGCTGCTAATAAACCAGTAAACCACCTGGTGCTGACTGATGAGTGATGGCTGCAGTGCTTCTGCCTCTGGGACCCGGTTTTATGGGCAGTGGATTTAAAATATTGGGGCCCGCAATGAGTACCAAATCCACGGTGTCCAACGCACTGTAAGCTTGTGATTGAATGATGAATATTGTTCTACGGTTCTACCAGACTACCACCACCACCACCAGTGTCTGACTTACTGTCTACCAAAATCATAAAATAAAAGGATTTACAATTTTACATGAGCTCGTTAATTAAGTCGTTAGTGTCAAAAACGAGTTACATCATCAGTCATTTTGTACACAACTTTGTAGCTAATGTAAAGTATTGACTTTTTTTTTTATTTCTTTTCAATTTTGGTACACAACGGAGATAGTCAACTCAGCTCCCATCTCCCAATGACTTGTTTGTCCAAACATCAACTCAGCCACCATCAGTTCAGTTATTGGTGAAATTATTGACTTCTTTGTCTATAAATTGTGACGTTAATACATACATTATGCAATAATATATTCTTTTTTTTTTTTGGTTGAAACGCAAAATAAAATTCAGCTTTTTCCCCACGGAGCCTTGCATAGATATGAATAATAATAATAAAATTGTAGATGAGAGACAGTTGTGGTGAGACTGTGAGAGTATGGGGTAGATGCCAATCAAGTTTTTCACGAATTATTTGTGTTTGGTTCGTAAAAAGCTTGATTCGGTTCTGTTTAAAATTTTAAATTGAATTCCGAGTTGAGTTCAAGTTTAACAGTGAATTATGTTACAAAAGGATTTAAGACACAACAATTAAAATAAACGAAAATATGTTTATTATGGCTTATTCATTTGCGGGAAATTGGGGGAAAGTAAGGTAAATTTCAAATAAGGTTCACCCTTTTCCTAGGTGGATAGAGAAAAAATTGGCCAAAACTATTATACAACCAAAATGCCCCTTCCTAACAAATGAACTTGCTGACGAACTTTGTAACAGATAGCCCACACCCAATCCAACCTGATGATATCCCTAATCTACGTCATTGCAGAAACCATTTGATTGGATTATTTTATTCCCGTGATGGATAGAATAGAGGAAACCAGACTCCACAAACCAAAGTTTAGATCCTATTTAAATGTTATGATAATAATCCATTCAATAGATTTGCAATATGATTGTACACAGCTTCTATTTGCTCACCTTATTGTACCTTGGTTTTATATATGTTTGTCAAACCAATCTTTGAATCTATGTTTTCAATGGGTCGTCAAGTCACCGGTTCAACCATCGGGTCTGGTCTAACTCTGGCAATACTGCTTTGAGTATAATGCCTTCAGCAATTTTGATTCGACTCGACACATCATGCTAAATCTAATCTTTAGACCAAAATTCATAGTGGATATAGACCTAAATCAGTGCATAAGATCTGTGATTCTGAAGAACCCCTAATTGGAAGATGACCTTAAACAATCCATACAGTCACGTACTATCATATATATTTAAAAATGGAATCGTTTTAGCCATCAATTCTTAGACCATTCGACTGACAAACTTCAATCAGACTGTTTTGGGGTCCAAAATATATACCACTAACCTTATCACAAAAGCAACCATCTCTGTGTTTAGAGGGATGATGAATAACCATCTCAACTATTGGGCCATCAGCATTCTCCCAAACATGAAGATATATATGATCATATGATTTTTTATTTTATTTTAATCCATATCTAATACATTTAATCTACATAAGCCCTTCATGTCATGTGCATGTGCAAGACATTTTAATATTTTATATATGGAGGAGAAAAAGTGGTCGTAAAGAGGAAGAAGAATAAAAGTGAAGTTGCTGGTTCATTGGATATGGAAAGTATAATTTGACTGGACAAAAGTGTGGTCAGCCAACACATAGTCTACAATTAGTGCATATCTCCCCTTCATTTGCTTTACTAAGCAATCAGTGTTTAGGACGGACTGATTGCTTTGTACTAGAAAAAAAAAAAAAAAAGTGTATGAGATCTAGATTACATCCTATGTGTAGTCTGGGGACAATTTGTACAAGGGTTTGGTGTCCTACAACTTGCCACCTATCCCAGATTTTGATCAGGATCTGAGAGAAAAGTTTTTACTTAAAATTCTAAAGCGTCTTTACAAATAATGCCAGCTCAAATGATCAATATATATATTAATCTAGCTTTTTTAATATAACAGCAATTTTAATTAATCAATTGGGACCCTCAGCCTCAACAAGGAATCCCATTTCACAAAATATTGGACAAGTGGCAAGTCTAGGTGTTCTAATTAATTATATAGTTCTGTTTCACTTTAAACCAATTCTTTGGCCAAAAACCATTGACATTGACCTGGGTGGTGAAACCATCAACCTGTTCAACTTAAATAATGATTTTTGGCTATTTTTACTTTAATTATTTATATTCTAAATTAGAATGAACCATCCATTCCATCCACTGATCCAAAAACCAGTGACCAAAGCAGTTTCGGTTCTTGATCAGTTTTTAAAAACGTTGGTTTGAATAAAACAACCTAGGCTGTTTAGAAACTTCCACACGTACCCTATCTACGAATTGTATTCGTAAAAACTAAAAAGGAGTATGGCATAGATTATGGATTTTTTTGGTTGTAATTTAATTTTATGAAAAAAGGCTAATGATTTACAGGGAGATGGCCGACCGCAATCAGTAAAGCTTATGTGCCGGGTCTACAATGTAACAGAAAAGAAAATTCGGGAATAAAATTCGTATGCTTTTTTCAGTTGAGACAATAAAATGTTGTGATCTGCTGGCTTCACCTAAAAACAAAGAAAGTTGAAGGGGGTGAAGCATCATCCCTTTTTATGCCTTTACGTCTTCCTTTTCCACTTTCAATGTTGATGCACTTTTGCAAATGGATGGCTTCTTTTATGGCTGGGTCCCGGTTCTGCTCCTCACACCAACCACGTAACGCTTCTTTTATGGCTCCGTGAGAAGCAAATCCCGATTCTCTTTTATGGTGGGGTCTCTATTTTATTACTATGTCCGCTTAGCTTCCAACTTTCCATTTTAGTCAGGAAGTTGGGCGTTGGTTGCAATTGGATGTAGAATTGGCATTGGATATATCGGGTGGCATTTGATATTTAACACTTTGAAGACCTATAAAGTTTGAAAATATTATTTTTTAAACGCCATCTATGTTTGATCTGAAATGTATTTTTAAATCTAAAACCATAAGACCTAAGCCTGGCACTGAACATGGTCAAATGCATTTCAGATCTGATTGAAAGTCTAAAACATCCTCAGTACTTTTAATAATGATATATTATACCCCTATTTTAATCTGATAAAAGGCCCGCTCTCTCTCCCTCTCTCCCTCTCTTCATTTCCTCTTCTCTCTTTCTCTCAGCAACATCCTCAACCACCACTCTGTACCAGCGATTTTGAATCAACCAGTGGCAGCGATTGTAATCCTCTTCCTTCCGATTTCTCTCAATTTCCATCATCACTATCTCACATTCTCCTCTCTTCCTTTCATTCTTCCACTCTCCTTGGTCATTGCTCCCTCTCTGTAATTTCTCTCCCCCGAACCAGTCATTGTGAATAGAGCATTGTCTGCTCATCATTCTCTCCTTCCCTTCCTTCCTCTCTCTCTCTCTCTCTCTCTCTCTCTCTTCTCCACTTTGATATTTAATAGTTTTTAAAGATACTAATTTTCTAATTATTAAATATTTTTTAATAGTTTTATTCTTATTTTAATAATTTTTTATTTTTATTAACCATTAATTATTTTAATTTTTATTAATTATTAAATATTTTAATAGTTTTAATATATTAATTTGATAATTATTAAATATTTTTTCATTGCTTCATGGACTTTATTACTATTGTCATTATTATTTTAGCTCTTAATAATTCATTTTTAATTTATATGTATTTTTTTAATTTCATTCTTATTTTAATAAATTATTTTTTATTTTTATAATTTACTCATATTTTTCAATATTATTTTGAATTTAATAAATTCTTTTTATGAAATAATGCAAATTGAACTAAAAATTATCAAATAGTCAGTTTTAGGGGTAAAATAATAAAATCAAGGAATTTTAGATTTTGAAGGGTTAATCCAACACATACAATATTATCTATTCAAAGCATCTAGAAAGTAGAAAAGCATCTATGTCTCTTTTCATATTTTAGACACTTTTAATATCTTTTTTAACTTTTTAGATATTATCATATGCCACCTATGTCAGCTTAGCTTCCAACTCTCCATTTTACTCAGGAAGTTGGGCATCCGTTGCCATTGGATGTAGAATTGGCATTGGATAGATCATGTCAATTAATCCAATACAAGCCAACCAATCAAATCGATTATATATCAGTTTTGGTTATGTGGTTTCTGTCTTCATTAAATGATCTGACCCAAACCAGA